GAACGTTCTGGATTTAGCCTCGAAAGTGTCGAGAGCCTTGCGTTCGATGGCCTCCATTATGAGGTTTGCCATTGTCACAGATATGGCTTCCCCCATGGCTGTGCCGCTGGTTTGCTTGTAGTATTTCTCGCTAAATAAGAAGTATGTGCTGTTCAGGCAGAGCTCTAGTAGTCGACAGGTCTCGTCAACCAATAGGCACGTTCTCTCCGGGAGTGTATCGTCTGCCGAGAGAGCACTTCTTGAAACAGATACCGCCGATAGCACTGGGATGCTGGTGAACAAAGACACCACGTCAAAAGAGACGAGGCTCTCGTCGTCACATAGCTCTAAACCGGAAACAAGATCTATGAAATGACTAGAGTTCTGCACGTACGTTGGAGTCTTTCCGGTGAGGAGTGAGAGAAACCTGTGGAGATATAGTTGGAGACGGCGCGCAAAGGTGACGTTGTGAAGTCCGTAATAGGTCGAAGTGGTACACCGGCCTTGTGTATTTTGGGGAGACCGTACAACGCCGGGGTGGATCAGTTCCTGCAGATTAGCCTCACGTAAAGGCTCCGGAAGTCAGGGTATTACTGGAATTTGATTGCCAGTGTTTTGTTGAGCGTTTCTTTGACTTTTCTCTTGGGATCTCTTGGCAAGGAAGTGTAGGCACTGCTGCCAAGGAGCTCAAGCAGCTTTTGTGGTCGTACGTCTCGCTGTCCATGACGAGGGTGGCGTTTCCCTTGTCTGCCCGAAACACTACGATGTTTTTGTCTTCCTTGAGGCGGCGCAAGGCCTGGTTTTCCTCTGCCGAAATATTGAGAGGTTTCCGCTGTACAGCCTGAGATATGACGCCGATGGCTTTCAATCGAGCCTTTTCGCGAGTAGACGGGTCCTACCCACGGAGACCGTCTTCGATGGACGCAACCATAGCCGGGAGGCGGAGCTTGCGAGTGGTTAAGTTAAAACACCGGCCTCTTGCCAGTACCGATGTCTCTGAAGGAGAGAGCTCTCTCGATGAAAGATTGCACACGAACCTTGTGTCGACTCTGCGGAGGCTGGAAGCTGAGTTGTCCTGCTGAAGTGCAGTCAGCTTCTTTGCATGTACCTGTTCTTTGGTCCGAGAGCACGTGGAAGCGGTGCCCCTGGTCAAAGCATCCAGGGCCTGGAACATCTCAGGTACTCGACGTTCCAGCTGTCGTCGCATGAAGAAGAGTTCCACGTCTTTCCTTTTGATGGCGCTGTGGCATTCGTGGATCCGGGCACACAAAGGACTGCGTTCTGCCTGGTCGATGACGCTATGTCCCTCAGTGGTGTGGACAAAACGCTTGAGGCCGAGACTCTTGGGCACAAAGCCGAGGTCTTTGCACTTTTTGTTGAACGTAAGATGAGGCTTGAAGGTGGTGACGGTTGACGAGATGTGCCGACGAGTTTAGCTCTGCTTGAGCAGCACATACCTTTCATTTAGCGGGAAGTACTACAAGCAAACCAGCGGCACAACCATGGGGGAAGCCATATCTGTGACAATGGCAAACCTCACAATGGAGGCCATCGAACGCAAGGCTCTCGACACTTTCGAGCCTAAACCCAGAATGTTCCTGCGTTACGTGGACGACTGTTACTGCGTCGTTAAAACCAGTGAGGTGGATCGTCTTTTAAAGCACCTGAACTCGGTGGATGAGTCGCTACAATTCACGGTCGAACGCGAAGACAAAGCTTCCCTTGCCTTTCTGGATGTACTGGTAACCAGGAGTGGCGGTGGGCTAAGCTTCTTTGTTCACAGGAAGCCAATTCATACTGGCAGATACTTGGGGTTTGATTCCCACCATCCCCGATGTCATAAAGCGTCGGTGGCCTCTGCACTCTTCAGGCGCGCCTTCGCCACCTGCTCCACAAAGAAGGGCCTCCAGGAAGAAATCAATGTCGTAACATCGGATCTCCGCAAGAACGGCTACTCTAAACGGTTTATTCGCCGGATACTCGCGAACTCAAGGTATCCACCCCTAGGGCGCAGCAGTAACTTATAAGCCCGGGTCGACAATCGGTCATCGCCTCCTCCTCCCGAAGGTTCGGCCCCCCTAAGAAAGGGCCTAAGGCTTGGTCTACCGCATACCATGCAAAGATTCCCCGGTCTCATACGTTGGCGAAAGCAAGAACTTCGCAGAGAGGCTCACGCGACACAAATATGATATCCGGAAGAAGGATGTGGAGGCAAGCGCCCTCGCGGAGCACGCAGATGCAGCCGGCCACACAGTCGACTTCGAGGGAAGCACCGTGCTGGCCTTGGAGAGGAATCGGCGAAAGCGGCTCTTCGTTGAGTCTTGGTTTATCCAACATAAAAGGGGAACGTGAATCGTTCTCCGGGCTCCCTGCCCAGCGTCTACGTCTTGGGACTGCGTGACGTGAGCAAAGCCCTCTACATCCGTATATGCATTTAAGCGACGCGTGTTCTTTTCTTTACGTCATTCACCCGTGAATAAGGGACCGAACTGGTCCCGAAACGTCGGGTAAATGTTTATTAAATCTTTGATTAGAGTCTCTTTTTTTCGCTTCAGTGTACTATGAAGTCGGGAGTTGTACTTTCCTCGGAAAAAATACTTTAGTTGTGTAAAAGTGTATGCTCAGAGAATGTACTTCAAATGAAGTATAAGATTTTAAACATATTTGAAGTTGTACTTTAGGTACCACGCACTTAGAGTACTTTCCAAAGACTGCGTGTTTATTATATTTTTTATGTAAAAACACGTTGGGGGAATTACTAAGATTTCTCAAACTATACCGAATTTTGGAAGGCCTGTTTATTCTGAGCTTTGAGAGGAAAGGCAACGCAAAGAGGTCACCTTTACGTTACCCTTTTATACTCGATAGTACGGCACAAAGTACGGGAGCACCGGATGAGCATCAGAGCGGGTGCTGCATTTTGTTGCCTCTTTTGAGTGTAGTCCTGAAGTGGGCGCGACTGCATACATTGGGGAGAAGCGGGTACAAGCGCCTTCTTCAAATGACTCAAGTCTCCTTGTGCTTTGGGACAAAAAGAAACGCCAGTCTTCGGCGCTAATCACGCAGTTACTCGGCTTCTCATGCGACCGTGTTTGTCCGCTCTCCGCGCCTCGTTGCAGGGTTATTGCAATGGGGAGCTCGTGAAAACTTGAGGGGGCTTCGGACACTCCCAACCTCCCCCCCCCCCCCCCTCCCCGTTTTTCTGCCTACGCCACATGCTTCACCCTCTTTGGAAATATCAGCTGATCTCCCAACATCTTATCCCTTTTTATGCAGGAATGTTTGTTGATAAGCAGACCTACCACTAAATTTCTAAAATAGTTTGTAATTAGGGTAGGACTGGTTGAACTACTTACGTCTTACGCTATATGCACGCTTCTAACTTCCCTCACTGCTGCAATCATGTACCAAGTTAGATAAGGACTTCCTGGACTTACAATACAGCGTAATGTGCATCTTCCAAAAAGGTGAGCATTAATATTGCTTATTTTAACAAGTAAGTCCTGTATTCATTACTTCATGGCCAGAGAAAAATATTTCTCTAGAACGTCTACAACATTGGTGGTATCGGTACAGTCCCCGTGGTCCTTGTGGAAACCGGTGTTCTTAAACACGGTCACCCCTGCTCCGGTCAATGTTACAACTGAAGTAAAGTCTGGTTAAATGCACCATGAGGGAAATTTGAGTGAGGCTCTTCCTGAGGACAATATGGTCTTCAATGTCAAATACGTATCTGTCCTTTCGAAGCACGACCTCAATTAACATGCTCCAATGCTCGCAAAAACAAAAAATATATTTTTATTTGCATTTTTATTTCGGCTTTTATTTAGAAGAATGCGATCAAAGACACGTCTCTGGGAGCGGCTTAGGTGCAGTCACTGATATCTTAAGAAAAAATCGGTGAAGCGAGCCGTCTTATTTACACAAACCAAGAAGCGTGACCATAATAGGCCACACCCTACGCTTGTAGATGTCGGTGACTCTAGTGAGAGGAAAATGTGGAGGAAAGAAATATTGAGGCAGCTTTTTGAAAGCGCCGAAACATCTGAGCCCACAACAACACGCGACTTTTCATTTTATTTGACGCGCCATGCTTGAAAAAAAAAAATCCAATGCGATTGCTATACTGGAGCTGAAGTGTTAAATAGCATAACATGATAGCATTCGATCATCTGAACTAAAGTTCGTCTGATATAGATTTCATTGTATTTCTTTTGCTTCGTACGAAAAAAAAGTAATTTTAGAAAGGTTAACTATAGTGAATCTACTCTGTTCAAGGCATTTATTATTTATTGTTGTTTTAGTATGTTTCACTTCTCATTTCCTTTATTTTTTTTGTTCTTTGAGACTAGACAGTATTGGTTTGAATTCAGTAAACGCTTTTGCTAGTTAAAAAGTATTGAAACATCTTTCTTGCTTCTCTCTTCCTCCTATTTTCGTACCTCATATCCCTTCAAGTGAATGATTGTTGTACTAAACGTTAAAAGACGTTGCAAATTTATCCTGCTATCTCGCAAAATAAGTATTTAGAAAGTGCTCTTTAAGTTTAAATAATAGATTCCAGGATAATATCCAGATTGTCAATACTACCTAGATACGAGCGGGACATGGGAGGTCGCGGTTCCTGAAGCTTTGTTCTTGGAAGCTTCTTTGTTTTGTTTTAATTGAAGAGGAGTGTTAGCACATAAACATTTCGACTGGACAGTATGAACTACAGGTTATAAAGTAGAACCTCAGCGCACCTTATTTTATTTGCCAAACATATAAGAAAACAAACGTGAAAATATATAATAAAAAAGTAATTATCGGGTGATAATTACCCCCCTAAGCAGTTGTTCTATTCGTCGAACATAAATATATTTTACTCAAACACAAACTATCAAGTGTGTGTGTGTTTTTAGTTGTTGTTGTTTAGATTTTTTACTTTCTTTTTTTTTTTTGGGGGGGGGGGGGGGGGGCGGGAGGGGGGGGTGGAGGGTACCCTTTAATATTGAGCTAGGTTTGGCGCTGAGTGAGCTCACCTTGGGTATGTTTGGCAGCGCTGTCTTGAGGCTGTGATAGAAGTGAGACTTGTGCGTGGAGTCCTTCATCTGAATGACGTCGAGGTACTGAAGTCCGTGTACGGCAGGATCCATAAAATACTTAATCTGGACAAAGAGAAAGAAAGCGAAAGCGAGAGATGGAGAAAAATTATTTGAATTGCTTATATATCCAAAGAAATAATATAAAGATGAAGAAACGGCATTGTCGAGCCTTGAGACATTTTCGTCGTACCAATTCCGCAATACGATATTTTAATGCCGCTTTTGCAGCATATTAAACATGCATCAATAAGAATAACAGGTATTGCATATCCTTGCTTAGACGCGTGTATGATGCATAAATGTGTAATATAATTTACAGGGCTTGATTATTTGCTTAGGTAAGCAAACTATGTCAGGAAGGCACACAAATGATGAGTTGTCATAGTCATGTGCCTTCTAATATACATTTATGACTCATCAAAAACAACTTAAGGAGAAGCTAAAGGTTTTTTTATTTGAGTAAAGACACTTAAACCACCTCTAGTGTGCCTTCACAATCCCGAATATCAAGATTATTATTTTTTTTTTAATTTGGTGCACGGAGGTTCCTTAAATTAATTTTCAAAGTACCGCTAAAGCCGCTCCTTCCCGAAGCGTTACGCAAAAAAAAAAAAAAAAAGAGTTTTCGGATTATACGTTTTCGCGCATTTTCAGCGCCTACCAAGGCCATGCACGCGCTGTCTTGCTATTTTCGAAAAGGTAAAAAACGAAAAAAAAAGCCACGACTGGTTTCAGTGCGGGAAAATATACCTGACAAGCTTACAACTGCACGCGCTACGCACACGAGCGACACTCGCTTGGCGGCCAAAAGATCGATCCTTTTATGACGTTTGATACTGGTCGGAGGTTTTTCGTGTTTTTCACGTTTTGTTTCATCTTCGGGGAAAACAAACGTGATATTCAAATTCACGAAGAAAGGGTAATAGCACAGGCGAGCTGGTGAAGAACTTCCATCGCAAACCGGAGACACGGCAAAATAAAAAGAGACTTGTAGTTGTCTTGTCCGTTTTTTTTTTGTTTTTTTTTTTATTTTGTCGTGTCCTCCGGTTTACAATGAATATTCAATTTCACGGTATAAAAATACTCTAGAATTTCCCTCTAACTCGTTTTTTTTTAAGAACCTCTTTAGCTTCCCTTATCTTTATTGAATTCGATTTGATGCCGGAAGAGCAGAACGAATCGCCTCCTGGTTTTCCAAAAATAGGTTCCTCGTCTCGCGAGAAAAGGTAAAAGGCAGAGTGTCTGCCTTTTGCCCGTTTTCTGAGTTCCATTGTGTCAGAAATAAGGAAAGAAACAAATAGCACACCCCCGCAGCAAAAACCAAATATAAATTCGTTTTCTCATCTGAGCATTAAAATTGCCGAGCCCAAGGCATAAATAGCCTGAAAACTTAAAGTTTCAGATAATTCAAAGAAAAAAAAGTTACAGTGTTTTACTTTGTTTTACCTGAAGTTCAGACGTATCCGACGTCACCAGCTGATGGGCCCAATCATACAGCATCAAAGCCGCACCATTGTAGCGTTCGTCAAGTTTTCATACGTGTTCTATTATCGCTGGACCAGTCATGTACTACAGGAAAGGATGAGTGGCATGCCCTCTTGAGGGTCATTGATTAGTAACATTACCTCGCAGCGTCGCATACGTTTGGACTTAAGCTGAAACAAGGTATATTCTTCGCTTCAGCGCAAATCAAAGCGCAGCCGACGTTAATATTGTATTGTATATGTAAATCCTGTGCGCCCTTTTAGCGCTGTGCAGGAGTGGAACGTCAATTTCCATACATTTCATATCTTGAAAATCTAAAGTTGGTATGGTCGGTACTACGTAACTTGACGGAACGACGCATTGATGAATTGAGTTGGTGAACCAAGCCCCTATATCTGTGCGAAGTTCATAAACGGCTAAAGTAATCACGCGCACTGAGGACGCCGTGACCTTGCACTTTTTTTAGTCAGTTTGTCTGTATCTGTGTCTTCTAACTTTTGAGAGCGCTGTGACTTAAACTTAAGTGTACACTGGAGGATTGCAGTTGTGAGCTCCCTAAATCGCCCACTTAGTGATTTCAGCAATCCCACGGCATCCCACACGTCGAGTGCGTGATATGACCCCCTAGTAATGCCGAATCACTGGGCACTGAAATAGTAATACCTAATCTTGACTTTTGTCTCTGTACTTAGGAAGCGCAAGAATTGGATGATCCGGAGCATACCTACACTCCCAGAAATAGGGGGTGTAGTACTTACACCCCTTGTCCCATATAAAGTACCCCAAGGGGTACGATTCGACGTTTCGTCAAGTGACGTCGCACCGACGATACCAACTTTCACGATCTGCTTGATAGTTGAGTGATACAACTTATTAAGATAGCTAATGTACCTATTACATGAAAACTCTCAAGGTTACGTTCGCCCTGCTACAAAGCCTCAGTGTGAGTTTTTCTCTCTCTAGTCTTTGATACCTATACACTAGCTCTTAAGTAAGTTATATCACAGAGCTACCAAGCGGCTCGTAAAAGTTTGTATCGCTAGTTCGACGTTAGCACACTGAACGTCGAAATGTAGTTTGGGGTGGTATATAAGAGAGAAGGGGTGTAAGTAGTACACCCCTCATTTCTGAGAGTGCCTTATCGCTCCGCATCCAATAAAATCGGAGGATGAACCAATAACAACGTCAAGGAACCAATCTCAAAGCAAGGAGCGTGAGCACTATAAGCCAAGCCAGCCCTGCACTTCTGAAGCTACCAGCGACTCTATAGGTTAAAACTGTTATGGGATCGCCGAATCGGCCTCGCTTCCAAACCCTTTGTTTCAAATGAGGCCGCCACGAAGACAAGCGGGTGCACACACAGATACACACAGACAGACAAAAGGGAGATGAAGTGCACGCTTTGAAGAGTATGATTGGTTCAATCAGACTTATGGTCGTACTCGCGCACACAAACCCACATGAAACCTCTAACAGTGATACGATCCCCGATTCCCGATTCCCGGACCGCTGTAAATTACGGATCTCGGACATAACGGCAGTTCATGTCGACTTTGCGCGTAGGCAGCTGCGCCTCTAGTATAAGCACCGAGTTAGGATTGTGTCGTTCGGAAAGCTTGCCCGCTCGGCCCATGATTGTCCCCGGTACGCGGAAAACCGGCCGCCCGGAATAATACAGCCTGAACGTCCTGCCATAAATCACTCTTGTCGTACGGCTAACTCATTAGGGGAGTCGAATGTTCCCGGGGTCCTTTGCTGACTCTTTTAATCCACGCGTACCATGCACGCCGCATGGGATATTGGGATGTTGATGCGTGCATTTCGATTGCGGCTCTTGAAAGATTGTTTGAGAGCGGTCAGTATAGTACTTTTTTTTTTTTTAATCATGGACAAGAGGTGTTTTTGGTTCTGACTTTGGTCTTTGAAAGCTCAGGGAATGCAGGGACGGGCCTTCAGCATCTTATTATTGGTCCTCGGCCGATGAGATGGTAGCATAATTCGCAGAACAAGAAACGGGAACATGTAAAGTCAAACCTTGTGTTTCTTAAACTGTTACTGACTATACATAGGGGAAAATCTTAGAGGCAACGCCCTTGATTTATTATAACAGCGATATCTGCACTACAAGTTGCCAAGAAGGTTTATTGAAAGCATTTGGCTAGCTAAGCAATCTAGACTTCGCTTGTCGCAAGAGAATGTGGATTATGGCTTTTTTCTTCGTATTATTTTACTATCTTGCGCGATACAAATGCTTTGACATTACTACGTTTTTACACGCGATTATTTTATATGTATATTTCGAGTTATGAATATTTGTATAGTGCAAACGACCCAAGTTTTGCAAAGACCTAATTTTGGAGTACATCGGAACCTGTAAAATATTTCCCGACAGAGTGGTCCGCTGATGGAAAAAAATACATAACTGGCCATTTCCAATGGTAATAAATACACAAAGTAGATTTCACAATCTCAATATTTAGTACTCGTCGTATATCCTCGTATAGCCGAAACTCGAACTTCGCGAAAACACACAAAAAAAATCGAGTATAGGTTCCTATGTGTCAAGAAATAGTCATTTGAGAGCGAGAGATATGAGTTGAAAAAAAAAAAGACGAAACATGTGATCTTTTAATAAAAACCTGGAGGCACACGCCATCGACAAAGCTTTCATTGTCAAATATAATTTCATGCCTTCCGCGTTTCTCGCCATGAAAACGTGCCACGCGAGAGTTCACCCAGTGCCGCGCCAGAACCAAAAAGAGCAATGCTTATAGACCAACTCGGCTCACTGACGTCACACCACTGCGGTGGCGCTGCTGTCGGTACTACGCATGCGCAGGAGCTTCACTCCTCCCGAATTTCGTTTCTGCGCACGCTTAGTGCCCGCGCCTGGTGTGGGCAAAGCGGGCTTGTTTGGAAACACTGTGTTGGTGTTCACTTTATTTCAGCAAAGGTCGAGACACAGCCGATGCTACAAGCTAATGGTATACCGATCGAGCAGCGTTAAAAGTGGAAAACACTGGGCCTTTTCTGTTTACGATTTGTTCAGCGATTATGGAACACGTACGAAAACACGACAAACACCATGATAATGCGGTTTTCACACAATCTGGTTGGTTTCCATCAGCTCGTACCGTCGACTGCTTCTAGATTTAAAGGGGTGTTGAAACGACATCGGTTTAGAATGTTTGTGACTTTACAGTGCCGTACTGGTTCTAGTTTGGCCCCAGTATTTTCGCACAGACAGCCACTGATTCGGAAGCTTGTTTTTTTTGGTTTTTTTTTGCGGTGAAATTGCGAGGACGAAAGGGGACTGTTTCTTTCAGCCTTGCCTTCGCAAAATCTCGATGACGTAATTGTGGGATCGAAACCAGCCGCCTGACGACAGTCGAGCGCGGCTCATGCATTCGACACGGGAACTGCGTGAACACTGGACTTCGGCTCGCAACAGACAGTGCCTCGGCGGACACTCGGGTAGTGGCTCGTGTCCGACCACTGCGGTGATGAGAATGACCGAGCTCTAACAATGCCTGGAGCTCAGCATGCGTTCTCTACTTCGTCAACCCCAGAGCGTGAGTGTGATTAACGATGGCGGCACAGGATAGGAACCAGGCCACGTGGTTTATTTTTCTGGCTACGAGTTAAGGGGATGAACGATGCTCATATTTCTCGAATTATTTTGACGAGTGCCATTGCTTAAAAATAAAAACTGAGGCAAGTCTATTAAGTTATTAACGTAAAAGAGGGAGGGATTCTAAGTAAATATAGCGAAAGTTAAAAAAAAAAAAAGTTTCAAGGCTACTTTAAAGGAGTCCTGCAACGATATTCTCTTGGACTGTGTTTCACTTTATACGAGCGTACTGACACTAGTGGGGCCCAATTATACTCGTACAAAACTTCACTGACCAAGAAACTTCTTTGTTGTGGTGTAACTTTAAGGACAAAAGCGAGCGTTTTCTTTCTTTCACAAACATTTATGACGTAGCTGGGGGATCGCAGTACACCCAGTGACGACATTTGAATGCGGCTCATAGACTGGACCCGAGCATTGCGTGAGCACTCGATTCGGGCTCCTGGTAATCAATGGCTGGAGAAGCATTCGGGTTGTGGCCCGTGTCCAATCACTTCAATGATGACAATAGTCAACCATAACAATGTTTGCAACTCGGCGCGTGTCCTGTGCTTCGTCAACCCCAGCGCGTGGCTATGGTCAACATTTGCGGCGTATAATTGGCTCCAGATCACGTGGCCACTTGTCTGGCTGCAAGTTTTGCGGGTGAACGCTTCTCGTTTTCCTTTAATTTTTTTTTTGCGACTTCTATGTATAGCTTGCATTTGACGTCATTAATGGCCATGTTAGTATTTTATGCACCGCTAGCTTTCGGTTCGCCGTGTTAGTTGTACACCACCGAAGTTGTAGTTTAAAGAAACCAGTAGGTAGAAATTACAATCAGTACGCAACAGTCGCGACACTTGCAAGCTATGTATTGCGTGTGGCGAAAACTTAACGCGTGTTTCATAAGTCATTAATGCCAGGTGTTCGTTCTAAGCACTATTGCAGCAGAGCAAAAAAACCGTTGCTTCACCCCTTTAAGGTGAAACCAAGTATAGAAGTTTTAATCGGCATCTGACCGTCGCATTCTTAAATAAAAATTTCACCCCCACCCCCTTTCCCGCTTCAGAATGGTGACTGATTCATCAAAAACATTTGTTGAAAAAAGAAAGAAAGGGTTGGTTGTGCCTTGGGAAAAAAACTGCTCAATAAACCGTGCGTGTTCAATCTATAAACTCGTGTTCAAAAAACTATTAAGAGGCAACGTCATAAAATCGAAAAGAAGAACCCCTTCGAATTTAAAAGCAAAAATATATAAACGTTAACGCACATTTGGTTGGCAGTTTATTGAACTAAACTGGTACAACCTAAAGCACAAAGGCTGCAAAGCGAAAATTGAAAGGCACCAAACTGCGCCGATTTCAGTACCTGCTTTTATGTGGCACTGTTCCACTCAACATTTGAAACCTTTCTTACGAATGGTGTCTAGATCCGAGCCTGTCGACATTCCAAGTGCGTAAAGTAAATCTGCAGCTTTCTTTGTGAAAAATATGTCCAACGAAACGCCGACGAGACCAGAATCAATTGCAGGGCCCACCAGGCGTTCTTAAAGTGTCAAAGGTAACAGCTGCGACAAGCAACCTGGATTGGTCAACCCGCGTTCAAAATAACAGCCAGTGCCATAAACTCTTCTTTTTGATGAGAAAGAAAAAAAAGAAAAAAACATGCCGTATTTTTAGTACCGCTAAAGAGTTTCGCCAGATGGGATTCGTAGTAAACTTTATTTTTCATGTAGCATATGAAGTGAACAGGGGATAAATGTCAGCGTCCTCCATTACACTACATTGTTCGTTTCTGGGCATTTACGCAGGGAATTTTTGTTATTTAATTATAATGCATATTGACAGCCTTGTCATAAAAATATAGGGCACAGCGCTCAATCTTTTATACTAAACTTCCAATTTAAAGCTGGTTAGTTCTGCAAGGCTATACGTGATAAATGATTTTAATTCTAACATGTATTAAAAACGGCCAAGTCGAACAAATTCAAATAACGCATCTATTAAGTAAAAATGTTCATGCTTTCTTGCTATATGCCACATACTTCTAGAATATATTTTTTTAACGGTGTTTAGTTTTGATGCGTGCGTTACATAATCCAGCCTTTCACGCCAGGGGGCCAGCGGAAGGTTATATCGTGAGCCTTATCTCAAAAGGTCATATGCTTCAAGAATATTTGACAACTACCTTAAGAACCGGACCACGTATGTTTCAAGGCCAGGATGGGCCAGATCGGCCGAATTCATCCCATACTGTCGGAGACTAAATTTGATCGGGGGCTTACCCCATTACTTGTCGCGAAAATACTCAAACTACGTCGTCGGAGATCCCACCGTCCAAAAATCCGGCCAATCGTAAGTCGTCGTATGCCGCCACAACACAAAATGCCTCGGTAAACAAAACACGCACAAACACACGCACGCATGCACGCACGCACGGACGCGCACGCTCGCACGCAGTCACGCACGCACGCACACACGTAAAAAATATCCTTAACTCAAAATCAAGAATAAACGAAATTTAAACTTATAAACCGTCCGTCCGGTTTCGATTACGTTGCAGAGCGATTCTCCACAGTCGCTTCACAGCAGTCACTAGCTCCGCAATCGTTGCCTTTACGACACCATTTCGTGGAACACGTCCCACAAAAAAACAACAGCAAAAAAGATAAACAAACAAAAATCTGTCTTCCAGAACAAATAGACTTCAAACTTCGATTGGAAGCCCACGACATGGCGCTGCGCAATACAAGATCTACACCCCACCTGTTCTCGTCCCTTCTCTCATTATTATTTTTCTCTCTCTTTCTCTTCTTTCCCCATTTTCCTCTCCCCCTCCTTCCCCAACTCCTTTTTTTTTGCCTCCCGTACACCCAATGCTGAGAAATGGCGCGTCGTGGTGTGAATAATTCAGCGTCTGCACTGTTGCCGTCGAAGCCGCGCGGCGACGAAACTCTCCCCCTCTCCTACACTCCGTTTCCCTTTAGGGATGGACCGCGACGGACACCACGAGCCATCCCAGCCAATCAAGGCCTGTGAAACTTGTCACGTGACTACGCGTCCCCTATGCGTCGTCGCACCCCCCGCCCGATGGTCACGCGATACTCACGCGACATTCGACTGGCTTCGATGGCTCGTTGTTTCGTCCTGGGCGGTCTATCATAATGCAAAACAAAGTGTACAGAGAACCGGCCGGAACTATGGTCGTCAAACGAACGCTCGAGGCGCCATGCTTTAATGATTTTAATATAACATGGCGTGCGGACGCCGATGTTCCCGTGAACACCCCCCCCCCCCCCCCCCCCCCCCACTTTTCTCTTCTTTTCCTTCTTTTGCTGCAATACAATTTTTGTCTTTATGTATATACTCTGTGTGCAAAAAGAAAGCACCTAAAGGAACAATTGATACCCTACTTTCGTACGCGTTAATATTTGAAAACGTTTCGAGCGTTAGGGAAAGATTAGGAGGATACTGCAGGTCGCTGACTCTGCCTTATTTATCCTGTCCCTCTCTACTTCCCGAGCACCCGCTTTGCCTGTCCTTTGTTTACATAAGAACGGAAACGGCTTGGCCGGTAACTTTTTGGGACTTTAGTTTGGGTCGGCTTTCTGTGGTGCGATTTGGCCCGTAATAAACGTTTCTTTCGCACCAGACGAAATGGCTGAAAAACGGAAACTGTCACGAGAATCCTGATGAAACGCCTTGACCGACACGCGTTCACGTCTTGACGCGTGATCAATGAGATCGGAGAGAATGCGGTTTGCGGACATGTACACTGAATAAAACGATAAAGTGGAATGACCTTTCTGTACGGGCTGCCTGATTAACGGTAAAAAAAAAGCAATGTTAATCGGAATGTAGCTCGAACGACAAGAACTACGTGGATGTACCAAAACCGGCGGATTGAGAAGATAAGTACCTTGTGAAACGGTAATTCTAATCTTAAACCGAACAATCTATACGTTTTTTGGTAAAACCGGCAGATAAATTTGTGTTCGGTATGTGAAGTAATAGGAAAATTAACGGTAAATTACTTTTCATCACAAATAATCAAGTAATGTAATTGACACGTTTTAACCAAGGGTTACTGTAATTTTAATCAATTGCGTTTTCCAGTAACAGATTTCTTAGGGTGTATAAAGTCACTGGAAAAGTACACGTCTCCAAAAGTAAGCACGAATAAAATTCGAGTTTTCACTTTTACAAGGACATCCGCGTACCATGGAGAAGTTCTGGGCGTTGGGCCTTCGCCTGGGGTCCACCTGTAGAAGCCCCTGCAGCGGTTCCTGAAGGTGGTGCGGCACTCGGTCCAGCATGTTGTGCAGGCTGCCCTCAAGCTGAAAGAAAATTGAAAAAAAGAAACAATATACTTTTTGGAATATGCTGCGGCGCACTTATTCCAATACGAGAACGAAAGAGGGACATGAAATACAATGCCGACGACATAGTTTCTATGTCCCTCTTTAGTGTTGGTATTCTATACTTCACTTCACCTGAAGTCGGGACGCAACCGAAGCAAACGAGTTTAAGGGGCAATCAAACAGCGCAAACATCGCAAGTTACTGGGCCTTCCATGCACATAATTGTTATCACGATGAACCAAAACACTTGACGATCTCCCTATTGCTGCATTTTTGAGATAGTTTGATTGGTCACACCAGCTCATAGCGTGGCTGCCACCGGGAATTTCGAGAAATTACGTAGTCATCAACATACTCAGCTGTCCAAATTGCACTTTATTGTATGGGGTTCATTTCAAGGCCGAGGGTTCACTTTTAAGTTGCTGAAAAAAATAAAGGCAGGTACAGACAAGACGACAGATCTTACTTTTAGCCTACAACAGTGTAGGAATTTTTTGTTGGCCTTGCAGGCTTTCCCATTTCCAAAGCCCCGGCAAATGAACGAAGAGAAGATTCTAAACATAAAAAATCTAGGAAACACAACACATAAAGGATACTTCGATCACTATGGCAATAGATTCTCATAGCATATACTGTAATCTAACAATCTTAAACACCCAGTCGATGAGGCAGTTGCGTGCTGCTGCTCAGAATGCGCCTTGGTCAGACCCATTATTCACTGAAACGAGTAAATTAAGGAAGCTTTGTTTTATTATCTCTCTAAAAGTAAAGTGCCTCTGGCCAAAGTTTGCTTGAGGCTCCGCAGGAACTGCTTTAACGAATGAGTGTATCGTATTAAGAAAGACAATACATCCGTACAAAATAAATACAATTGCTCAATAAAAAAGAAATTAAATCAGACTGAACCGCTATTGATCTGAATCAACCATATCAGCAGAGCTTTTTTTTATCATGAGGTGGGTTGCTGATATGACAACACTAATTTCTGCGGTAAGAGAACTGGAGACATTGATTTTATTTGCGCGATAACCAACGTGCTTTCCTAACGCGGTAAGTTAATCGTGATTTTTCCATCTGAGTACAAAAGAATATGCAATTCTTCTTTGAAACTGATCTTGACTTTTTTTACCTAAAGAGTGTACAAAGAAGAACATATATTCGAATCTTAATAATATCCGGTTTTACTACATATAAAAACAATATGAAAATGAGATAATTTCGTAGTAAGAGTACTTTTTGTTTAAAACATATTCGAAATGACGCTTTTGGATGTTCGTCTCCTTGATTCACCATGCCACAGAGTTATTTCCAATTTTATTGTAGTTCGGCCTCTATACTTCGTCTCCCCCTACGATGGACTAAAGGCAAAAGCTACGGACCGCCAGATCCAATCACGAGCCACTCAGAAGTTGTGCGATATTTCGCTTCGATGCACGTGTCGGTGCCCGCGTCTCGGATCACTGATAAGGGGACGGGTGTACAGTGGTTCAAATCGAAGAGCACTGAGTGACTCAACAGTATTACATCGCAAAGAAAGCCACGACTTCTATAGGCTCTTTGCAGCGTCGAAGCTATAGAAATGATGGAGCGCTTTTGGATTCAAGGATTATTTGTCCACCTCTAATCAATGTTAAGTGTGTCATAGTATAGCGCGGAACGTGATTGGACCTGGCGGCCCTTGGCTTTGGTTTTTAGTACATCTAGGATGAGACAAAGTATAATTACCCTGAGGGTTACTGCACACAATAGTATTTTTGTCTTATCTCTCGTCTTGAAAAGAAATCGATTGTTTTGCATCAAGGCTTAGTACAATCCATGGAAGTCATAAACAGCAATTCCAAGATGTCTTTCCCAACACGTAATACAAAAATGTATGTTTATTTTTTTTTGCCAACTGATTGCGACGATCATTCCTCCATCGAACGTTTACCGTGCCCGACAAGCTCGCAGTCGAAAATTCACGTAATGATGGATTCCTCCCTCTATTTCTTTTAAACGGAAACAGAAACGAAATTTTAGGGTTCATTCTATTGCTTAGGTATATACCACGTCGCATCAGCTCCTGAGAAACATGAGTGTTTTATTTGTAAACGTGAGAAAAGTAATTTTAAAACGAACAAAACAATTACCCACTTGCACTTAATAATTGGGGGGTCCAAGCTTTGTTGGCGGATCGGGACGTGTTGCTCCTCTTGCAGTGGCGCCACCCTCGGCAGTACACCGTACTCATATAGACACCATAGCCGTGATCGCAATGACGATATCGCGCTACTTTGCGCGGCGCGCAATTGTTTCGGCGCTTATGGCCTGAATGTCCAACGAGACTGAATGTCCAACGAGCCTGAATGTCCAATCGGTCACGTGACAGGCGAGACGGAATGTACAACGAGACGAAAGATCCAATCGAGACGGAATGTCCAACGTGCCTGAATGTCCAACGAGACGAAAGATCCAATCGAGACGGAATGTCCAACGTGCCTGAATGTCCAACGAGACGAAAGATCCAACCGAGACGGAATGTCCAACGAGCCTGAATGTCCAACGAGTCTGAATATCCAACGGATATAGAATGAACCTTGCAAAGAGTTTAGAAGACATTTCTTTGTTGAATTGTAGGATTACTGATATTTACGGCGGTGAAAAATGCGTTCGATAAAATGGGGAACCGGACATTTCGGTGCGGAGATATCGGTACGCGATCGTTTCGGTATTTGGTCGCTTCGGCACCGGGCTTTTCAGTACCGGGATTTTTGATGCACGGCTATTTTGATATGCCGCTGAGCTTGTCCCACTGACGTTGCCTCTGTGAAGTCCCCAAAATGAAATTAAAATTATGCTGGTATATTTTGTAGACTTCATAAAATCCCAAAAACAATTAATTTATTGTTCGTTTTATATATCTAAATATAAAGATGATATCTATAATTTAAAAAAAAGACGTTTAAAAGGTCAAACATGCTACAAGATCAAAGACCGAACTCGTTGACCATTGACAACCTGTCACGCGTTTGATTTTAGAAGGTCGTACCTCTGGACCGGAAACAAATGTGGGACCCACGAGCGTCCTCAGCCACCGTTTTTTCGTATTGTACGAGTTGCTATATTTTTCTTATTCGTGTCCCTAGTCCCGCAAAGATGATGTCCCTCGCATGGGAGAAAAGCGCCTGATTGAATTTTTAGTATTATAATTATTATTAGGTGCAGTCGGTGTAGTACGTGTAATTACTCTAAATTGCACTTTTTGTTTTCTTCTTTTTTACAGAACGAACGTGAAAGATTTAGACATTTCTGACTGGACTTCTCGGTCCCCAGAAACAAAAATTCGATCCTCATATCAAAATCAGTGATAGAATACAACGTTCCTCCCATTAAGCCTTTGTGCAGCTAATCTCCTCAATTAGTGAGCTTTTGTCCGGTGATTGTGCGTTGACGCTTATCGCGACGATTAATTTCGCATGCTTCGGCCACCAAAGCGATTGCTGTCGCAGTGAACCATGTATTAAGCAACTAGTAGGTAATATTAATAATTATTACGATATTTTTTTAGGGTTGGCTTCCGTCGTTTCTGCCTTTCCTGGTCACGTGGCATGCAGCAATCGCACCGATACACGCCCAGGTAGCATACCAAGGCTGCGATTGGATTTCAACTAATTCTAACTCAGTCACAGAGCCGCTGCGACAGTGCGAGCGTTATTTATTCATATGCGTACATTACAAGTGCACATATGACCACGGCATCAGGAGGTCAACCCCTCGCTCGGTTTTCCCAAATTCCATATTGCTAGAGTTGCGGGTGAACATACTCACGGAGAACCCGACTTTTATCATTTTGAATAACCCGGGTATGATTCACTATCGGACCCTTGCCAATTCTGAGAGCTGTATTTGTCCTCCTCTCTTTTTTGAAAAGAAGGTCTCACTGTTGACGCCCACTGTCACCGGCAATCTACACACCCAACCCTAATCAACTTTTTACGACAGTTCGACAAACGGGGACTTTCGCCCCATTCTTCATTCTGCGAATCGGGACGAATTGTCCTTCTTCCAGTTGTCCAGAGACCAATAAAATTTTGACGAAGTGACCAGATTCGTGGTGCAATACGCTTACCCTACAAGAACAGAAAGCCACGTGGAAGGATCTATTGTTATAATCACACATGATGCAGGCTATTAGTACATCCGGGTGTGAACCTTCTGCTGCACGCCGAGATTGATGCGTTCGCTTCCTTTATCAGCAGTCAAGCTCCCACCTACCAAGACGTCATGAACTACCTCGACAAAATGGCGAGCTTTGGAGTGCTTCCAGAAGCCAGTTAAATTACATGGGCTTCTGAAAACCACTATATGTGACATGCACTATATGCATGTCACATGCAAAAAAAAAAGTATGCGTACTGTGTGATACTAGTATTATCGCTCTACTCACTGACATGCAAACCTATTGGTAGGAAATGGATGCGTATGTAAACTACTGACAACTGAAGTGTACAGTGAGTAGTTGTCTGTTCCAAAGATAAACGAACAAAAATAAAAATTTCTCAAATTCACACAAATGTTCCGCATTTACTCAGGAATTGTCGGGTCACACCAGCCACCACCCCCATGCATTTACAGGCGCGTTAGATGTAGATTTTATTTAAAAAAAAAAAAAGATATCTATATTTTTTTTATTGTGGGAAATTACGCTTGTGGAAACTCTTGATGCCTCGCACCCACAGCTCCCAAATCTCATTTTAAAAACTGAAATATTGACTTTCCGCATAGTCAGTGGAGCTGGCGGGCCGTCATGTGTTTGCAATGCGGATCTCCGTATGTAGCTCATCTATAGATCGAAACGGGCAGGGATGAGGACTGAACTAGAAATTCCTGGGTTCTGAAGCGCGGCTTTTATAGACGTTCGCCAATTGCGATCCACTAGAACACCCGTACTTTGCATTCCTATTATATATTTCAATTTGGCTGACCTATGTCATCGAAATATTCCAAACATTTGAACTGTTGATATCAAAGGGGCGTTTTGCGTCGTACAATCGACACCTTTAACCGATTGGTACACAGCTGCGCATCGGCACTCAGCTAACTAACCATCAAGCCTTCCAATAGATGAGATTATAATATTTGTGTCTGCTCTGTTTCTTTGTCGGTCCGTTGAACGTCGGCTTTTGTGGCACGACATTTTAGTATGATGTATCTACGGCAATTCCTGCAGGGACGCGGACTACATATACACACAAGTCTGTACATTTAAGAGGGCAAATTATTCTAGCACGTGACAGGCGAGACGGAATTTCCAACGTGCCTGAATGTCCAACGAGACGAAAGATCCAACCGAGACGGAATGTACAACGAGCCTGAATGTCCATCGAGACGAAAGATCCAACCGAGACGGAATGTCCAACGAGCCTGAATGTCCAACGAGACGGAAGATCCAACCGAGACGGAATGTCCAACGAGCCTAAATGTCCAACGTGCCTGAATATCCATTATTGGATCTTTCGTCTCGTTGGACATTCAGGCTCGTTGGACATTCCGTCTCGTAATCTTGTTTCGGTACCACCGGGTCGTTTCTGTTTTTAATCATCCCTTTTGCGTGCAGGATACTGCGCAGTTGTGCGACAGAAGGCGGCGGCAAAAGTGTACCTGAACTGCGAGACGCCGAACCACGGGTTTTCTAACGATGAGAAATTCCGAAGCGTGTGGAGCCGTCTCGCGCGTCTGTCGTCTCTCGGGCGCCGGCAAAGCCGATCGCCTGTTCGGTGACCATTTTCACGATGAGAAATATAAAAGGCGACCGACGGTCTTAGGAGTCTGAGTCTACCTACTAAGAATATTCGGTTGCTACCAGGGGTTTTGCCGACTATATTTTTGCAAGACGTGAGAAGCAGACGAGCTCAGCTAACCGCACCAAAAATGAAGCAAATTGGGAAGTGAGCAGGCTGTTAATAAAACATCTAATAGCGTATACCGCAAAGTTGCCCAGTCATTATTAAATGCAATCCATTTCTTGGCGACCCTGACCAATTTCAGATTTTGTCGGGCGGACGGTCGGTCTATCGGATGGTTCGTACGGTTCTGGCGTGAATCGCCAGTCTCTTACCATGTGCTTCCGCACATGGTGAGTGACTACTCGTCCTCGCTGACATGTTCCGAGTCGCCTTCGTAGCCGAAATTCTCGTCCTCTCGAGCTCATAGATCATGGCGGAACGCACCGCGGGCTATAGGTCGAAATAAATGACGCCTCGACGGTCGTCCTGCAGCTGTTGCAACTGTGCAGTCCTCCGCCACTCTGAAAAGCTAGAATGTAACGCGCAAAAGCCACCGCGTGGCGCGCTCATAATCTCGCTAGCCTTTGGCTGTGCTTGAGGAGCCTGACGCTAGGATTGCGACGGAGTTCCCATGGCGCATCGCACGCTTCGACGGCTGATCTCAAAGCGCTCGCTAAAATCGAACGTTTCAAACTAAAAATATAACCATCCGCTCAAAATACGAAAGTGCGATTGCCATTTACGAATGTCATGGGTCATATTTCACCCATTTCGGAAAGGTTTCCATATATTTTGATTTTCGTGCCCATAACCCTTTAATTTATGTTAAGCCAAGCTAAATACATTAAACTATTCAGTGCCGCTCATAGCGTAACAAATTAACAAAGCATAGCCTTATTGCAGTTTTCCCGAGGGATTGACCCATCATCCAAGTGGAAAGCAAAAATGAAGCAAAAATTGTATTGTTTGTATTTCAGACTTAGGAAAGTTAGACTACCTCAATGGATGTCAAGTGCAATCGCTGGTGCGATCGCTTTCGATCAGATAGTTAGCCAGTGCACTATCACAGCCAGCCTCGGGCCTTTGATGTGCATCATTTGACTGCACGTTGATATAATGTTGATCCAAATCGAAACGGTGAGGGATGGTGATTGAACAAAGGACCCTTGAGTTCTGCAGCGCAATCTTGATCTTCACGTGATTTGAACTGTGCTGCATTAGCACACTCGGCAATTGATGCCCCAAAGAAAACACACACTGACAGGACATTATTCAGTCCATCCGACTTTGAAACAATGCCGCAGCGTGAACGCACGTACTCGAAGAAAAAAAAAAAAGAAAAAACGATATAGTAGGCGAAGATCGAACATCCTCACCACTTCAAGCTGCTTGTTGTAGGTGGTGGTGGAGAGGTTTCCTTCGATGATGGAACGCCCGCCGTTGAAGAGCGAGCAGATGATGAGACCCAGGGAGAACATGTCTGAGAGCGGGGAACAGGAAGAAGCCGCCTGCACTTCTGGGGCCGTGTAGTCTAGGTCCGGCTGGCCCATCTTGGGCAGCTTGGACGTGAACGGCTGACAGCTCACGGGGCTCTGAAAGACAGCGGTCATCTTATTGTGGACACTAGTATTGTTGATCATCCCACCATTGCCGATCCTGCTAGTGCATATGGTACCATTAGTGACTGTATCGTTGCCCATAGTACCAATGTAGGTGCTACTATTGCAAATGAAATAATTTCCGATGGTACTGTTGCCGATAATTCCATTGTTGATGGTACCACTGACGATGGTACTATTTCAAATTGTACCATTGCCGATGTTACCATGGCGGACGGCATTATTGTAAATGACACCATTGATGGTGGTATTATTGCCATTGATACCGTCGCCGCGAATGAGGTAGACGAATGTATGTTGGTCAATTATACCTCTGGCAATAGTGCCGTTGACAGTGGGAACATGGACGATCAGTCATTTCATATTGCACCATTGGTGATTCTAGTATAGGGGAAAATAAATTTGCTGACAGTATTATTTACGACTGTTATATTGTTAATCGTATTGTTGACAATCTAGCCTTCGCATTTCGTAGTATAGGCGATCGAAGCGCCTCCCAAGCAGATAGTGTGTTGATGTTCGTAGCTTTTTAAATTGTACTATTGGCGACCGTATTATTAGCGAGCCTACCATTTGTAACCACGAATCTATGTGCGTTTCTATCACAAAAATAGATGCACAAGCATTGTTTAAAATGTAGCATGTGCATTCCTAAAATTTTATATCTCACTTGTAACTAACAAACTAGACTTTTAGCGTGCCCGGTTCAAAAAATATAACGCACAATTGCTGTTAGCTTACAATTACTATTTCTGACAAGACCACAAATGCTCAAAAGTATGTTAACGATTACAGTTATAAAAGTTCCACTAATATGGTCACGCTGTCTGGTAGTTGATTAAAAGCTGAAAAATTTGTGTATCTAAACACGAAATAATTCTTAAGAAGGACCCTTTGTCATAACAATAGCAATATATATATATATATATATATATATATATATATATATAACTGCATAACCAGAACTTATCTGTATGGATCAATGCGTACAAAATGAGACGGAATCTATTTCCATTCTTTATCAATACAAAAAAAGAAATACAGATATAGCGGTGATCCTTCAGACGTGCCTTCATAACGAACGCTCTTAACAAACCATAGAGCATCACACAGTTAAAGTGACTGAGTATATTGCGCTTTAGAGTTTCTACTCGGTCTAAGCTCGACAAACCAAAATAGAAACGCCCAATTCTTGCCCCAGTTGCTGCAATCAGCGCCCCCTTCGCCAGTCCGCAAAACAAGGGGAAAGTCACACGCACGTAGAACTAAGAATTCTATCAATTACAAGCTGCAAAACCGACGAATCTATGGTCACTTAGAGTTTAAGAAGCGCAGAGCGGGAGGCACGATATCTCGTATAACAAAAACTCCGCATGCTCACAACGGATTGCACAGCCGAGTAGGAACAAGTTGCAGCGCGCAGAGGGCGATTGTTTTGATTAATTAATTAATTAATTAATTAATTAACTAGTCACTCAATCGATCAATCACAAATCAGTTACAGGCCAATTCATTGCGTTCATATCAGACATAATTGATTTTGGAAGAATGCGCGAGACGTGATATTGCGCAGAAGACAGTTCCACGCATTCCTGCAGTCCCATTCGTAGTTTAGAGTAAAACGATGTCGGCTTGCAAAAGGCGAATATGGGAACGGTATCCTGGTGCTAATCAGAAAATCGCATGATTTATATAATGAAATAAAGGTGCGATAGCACAATTGTACATGATGAAAAATTGGGCTCAACGGGACAGGACAAAGTAAGACACATAATCATAAATTCGTCGATATAGCTGTTTATACGGCAGGAGTTTAGCCTCCCAGAATATGGCGACATTGTTACGAAGGTGGAGAATAAAAATCAAGATGATTTGAATCGCGACCTGGATCAGACTTGTTTTACTATGCCGATTTATATCGAAGCCTTTCTCCAAAATAACCCCGAAAATAGTTCTTAGTTTTTATTTTGTGTTTGTATAAAATGTAATTATCTCTGTGTGAATTTGTTTTGAACTGAAATCAAGCAATCATTAAGCAAGAAAGATTTATATCAGGTTGAGCACGAGCAAAAAGCACTGTTCTTCTGAGCTAATTGGAGCATTTAGGATTTAGGCTTCGTTCTACCTTCCACTTTGATGGTCAGCTATGGAACGTCATATTTCACGCAAATCATAACACAAAAGAAAGATGTAACTAGAAAAGTAATGTATTATTGCAAGCAAGATAGAACGAGAAAGAAAAAGTAAATTAAGCTTTATAGCCAAATAAAAATGAATCAAGTTGTTCTTATTGTAGTTGCTGGGGTTTTAATCCAACAGAAAGTTCTGAACTTCCTTTAAATTTAAGCCATTTATTTTTTTCCCATATTGCTATCAGTGATCCGACAGGTTATTTAATCTATCTACCATATTTAAAAATTCATGCAGCGATAAAGTGAAATTTTTAGCGACATGCATTCAAATCAAATTGGTCTGATTGAAATGCAATAACTCTGCTTAATATAAAGATAAATCTGATTCATTTGAGTTACAAAATCACCTTTCCCCGCCCTCGGGGTTGCCCACTGTAGATAAAAAAAAAATTAGCGATTGCAGTACGTTTGGTGACCTCGGGTTTTTTGACGTGTGTCACACAGTAGAGATACACGACCACACGCCGTCATCTAGGTCCAAACGGGCAGGACTGGGGATTGAAACAGACTCGCGCGCTGACTCCCAACTGAAATATATTAAACAAAGAGAAGAAAGAGGAACTAAGCAGCGAAATATGCTTCTGGTGCGAGTCATCGCGTGTGTGTCTTGCGTTCGTTTCTTTTGTACTGTCTTTTTGAGCGGTGTTTTCATCGTGTAAAACGATCATCAACAAACCCAACTTACCACCTTGCTGCACTAACATACGGTTAATAGTAACTAGTACCCTTTGCTACCCAGCGGAGGGGTAAGGGTGTAAAAGGAGTGTTAGTACACCGCTTTTCCCCACACCCCTTCCCCTTTTGTGCAATGCAATGCCATTGGTTGCGGGTGCTATGACGTCAAACCTTACGCTGATGCCCTACGTTGCTAACGCTCTCTCTCGTGGCCTAGTTGCAATGCTCCCAACATGAACGCTCGCGAGCAAGGTTTGTGCAGGTGTTCTCATATAAAGCTCTCGATTTAAAAGGTTCTCACGATCCGAGGTGTGCACTTCTCGAGCGAAAGACGACAAAATCCCACCATGTTAGGGAAAGCACTTCGAATCCTACGCTCAACAGCAAAGCGAGCCGCCGTAGATAAAATATAAAGCATAGAGAGAAAAAGATATATCTAAAAGCGTTCTGAAGGAAGGTTAAGAAAACATAACGCAAAACACACACACACACACACACACAAAAAAACCGTAAGCGCGATTTCATGTTCCGAATGATTGGTGCTTATTGTTTTATTTGTGAACGTTGCTTCGACCCAGAATTTGTTTCTCTTTTATTAGGCTAATAGAACCCGTGACATTGGGACTCAGTGTCACGTTCTTTTTTTAGTTGCTGGTCGAAAGGAATATTTAAGAAATAAGAAAAAAATGGCTGAGGTGAAGAAGGGTGAATCGTTCGCTTCAAAGGACAGCATTACTTTGAGCAAAGTTAAGGCAATTCTGCAGTTTTTTTTTATTTTTTTTTATTTTACTATTGTTCTTCTATGATGGGTATTTCTCTTCATTTCTGGTGTTCTTTTGTTTGTTTTTTTCCTCTTCGGTACACACTTTTACATAATTTGTCCGCTGCTCATTTTTTTTTCGCGTAACACCCTGAAGATAGCTAAATAAATCGTGAAGTTTTAACTAAATGCTATCAAACTTTTATTTTCAACGGAAGCTTAGACCGTGCGAAGCACGTCCGCCTCGAACGATTTCGGGGCTGGCTTTTTAGAAGAAAAAAAAAAAGTGTCTCGGTTAAGATAAAGATATCGTTTAGTAGCTCATTCCAATCCCGAATTGCCCGAGAAACAAAAAAATTGTCCGAGAAAGAATGATTATCTCAAACAGTCCTTCTTAATCCTTTATTGTCTTAACGCTTTAGTAACGTTTGGACCCTGTCGATAATGGTTCTAAGTAGCTAGAGCTTCAAATTTGAATAGTGCCGTTAATAATATTATACAGTACTTTTAATCTATCAATTTGTGCTCTGGTTTGCAACGGCTGAAGCTGTATTCTGAGAGGCAGTTTTGTAGATAAAGTTCCTGTACGAAAATTATTAAAAATAAACCGATCACCTAGTTTCTGAATACTTGCAGGCCTTCAGGAAGAGAAGAATCGACAAAATATAAATTTACGCTTTAGGGTGCCACACTGAGTCCGCGTATTCTCGCACAGGTCTCACAAAACTTTCATAGGCAATAGGTTTTGTATATGAATCAGCAAATTTTAATTTCCTTCTACAGCTTTATCTGAACACTCCGATAAACCTATTTAAAACGGTTTTTACGTATTCAGGGTCAAAAACTTCAAATAAACCTCGCAACGTACCTTGATTTATTATTTTTAAGTTTCATCATTGAAGTGTGAATCGCACTATTAAGATTTACTAAGAAAAAAGGAAAGGCATGTAAATCCTTTTCACTTTATATTGGAATTACGTATGCTGCATAAAAATTCACTATCTACGCGCCCTCAGCATCCTTTAAAACTCAACATTAGTCACGTGTGTGCGTTTTTATTATTAATACCCTGGCCCAAACAACGTTGCTGCGTTTTGAAGCGCTCTTCGAAAACTGGGGGCTTTGGTGGTAATGGTGGGGGTCGTTCACTGAAAAACAGGACGACCGGCTTCAACGAAAAATGGTTTAGTCCAACTGTCAGGCTCGTTCTGCCCGTGCTCGCTCCCATGTCACCTCTTCTTCTTGAGGCAGACAAAGTCTTTCATGCCAGCCACTATTTGGTATGAATTTTCAACAACCATAACAACCCCATCTTCCTGAAATATATCTCACAAATTAAAAAAAAGGGAGGGGAGTTACGTGGGTTTGGTTGCGATCTTAGCAGGGAAAAAATAAAAAAATATCGGAATTTTAAATTTCTAAAGACACTTGAGACACTCCAATTGCGTTATTTGCCATAGATAAACGAATTAAAACTCTCTTTTTAAGATAGTTTGCTGAGAAGACATTTACTGGACTATTTTTTTATAAGCAAGTTGTCGTTATGCAGATTTTGAACAAATTATAGTCAAGACACACAACTCAAGAATCTCACGTTAGAAACACTCCGCGTCTGTACGGCGAGAAAACGATACTACAAAACTGCGCCTCTGTTTTCTTCCCCCTTACATCAACACAACGGAAATTCAGTCAGTAACTTGTCTTTTGCTCACCCTGCAATCTCACCAAATCCGTGCAAAAATACCGGCCGATGAATAGAAAAAGAAAAGGCATTCACCCTGTAGCATTTCACCATTTCGTTCTGCATTAGATACGATCCAGGAAAGGAATGACTCGCGCCACGCTGAACAATAGATGATCGACGACTGGTGGAACCCACGAAGTGTCTATAGGACGCCCCCGATGAGCTACAAGTCTTGTTTTTGTGTTGGTCGACCCAGTGTTGAAAGAATTCGTAATGCAACTTTTTGGCTATTTTACCGTAGAGCCTCAGTCAAAAACGCCTTCGAACGATGTTTTCTTATCACCACGCCGTCAATCATTCGGCTTGCCTTATCGGTCGAACGTCTCTCTTTTATTTTCTGTTGGTTGTAACAAGTTCGCTGCACATTTTCGTGTGGCGGTCGGAGATATACTGCGCTGCAGTAGAAGCGAATATGCAACGATAAGAGACTAGCGAAGAAAAATTACTGAATACAAAATAATGCGACACCACGTATTTGAATACCATATTGCTTCGCCATGAACAGCGAGAAATTATTTTCTTAACCCGCCCTCATCACTGCGATAAAGCTGATTAGCACATAATGCATCGTACGTGTATTGCGCGTGCGTTATGATATTAGGGAGTTTTCGTAGATCGTTTTCGCCGTCCCGCAAGGCCCTCCGCTACCCGCTACAATAGCGGGAACTCCACAGTCAAGGCTATCGGCGCGCAGGCGCAGTAGCAACTTCTTCGTTGCGGAACGCTTAGCGGAGGGGGCAGCGCGGTCTACGAAAACTCCCTATTGTATACGTGGTTACGGAGCGCGTTGGATAGCTACCGATACGTTGTACGCCAGACGCGCCATGTGCTTACCGAGTTTATCACAATGATCGAGAAAAGTTGAAACTTTTACAGAACCCGTGTTGTCCTGAGATTGCGCTGAGAGCCGCCCTTCTACATCCGAGAACCAGCTGCGCGCTCTTCCAATCACCTGCTACCACAGGTTCGCGAGAGACATACCGTCCAGCTGTGTCCGTTATCGTTCGTCCACTCTTCGTGGCGCCGAGCGAAACCGTTCTGCGGTGGATATCACGATTCGAGGTTTAATTGCGGCCGCTCCGCTGGGTGGATTTGAATAATTACAATTTATTGGTGTAAATTATGATTAAGTATGACCAAGAATGGCTTAAGTATACCTTCTGTAGGCCTTGCATGCTTATCCATTGACTGCTATGGGTTATGTATTCTTTACGTTGCCTTGGCCTGCATGTAACGGTTTTTTGTTGCTCTCGGGCGCAACGCCTTTGGCATAAATCCTGGCCGTTAAACGTATTCTGTGTAGAGCATATGGGAGCAATAAATGAAGCGGAAGTAAACAGTTCTTTTTGGCATTTATACGCGCTCATCAAGCCTATTCGTAACTCCAAAAAAGGCGACGCCACTCTCTAAAATACCTGGAAGAAAAAAGTGGAAGCTGCCTTCTATCCAAGTATGCATAGAAAGCTGGCACTGCCTAATGGTTTAAATGTAAAACTGAAAAACAATGCAAAGGTGCTTGTAATTGGAGATTTTCTGATATAAGGCGGTGACTGTGGAATTATGGGATTAGAAAGGACTTTCTAGAGAGGATGTCCTCTCCCTCTATCGAAGTGGCATAGTCCTTGATGGTTTCACACTTTTTTAACAAAAACTATCGATCACGTATAAATTTTAATCAGATGCATTTTTAAAAGATTAAAACAGCGCAAAAAATACGACGGACTAGATGTAGGAGGACACAGACAGAGCGCTGTATTCTTGCTGGTTACCGAAAGTGAGAAGCGCTAAAATTAAGAAAAGTCTTCTCCAGGCATCCCGAGTTTACACATACTTTGGGTCATCCAGATGACGACAAAGACGTAGTTTCCCAATTTCGATACTCACTGTACAAGGGCCTTTTGTGAACAACAAAAATCGACGAAAAAGTGAGGTTGTAGTGTACAATTTCGGAGATTGTACACTATACTCCGTTTCACCTTATGTTGTACCGCAGACAAGGCTAGAAGCACGAGCTCATAGCGTTGGAAGCTGCTTGTAACGCACGAGAGTTTGTGCCGCCAAGATGTGCCCTAGAGGAAGGAGCTCGAGCTTGTAGCCTTTCCTGCGGTACATCATATGGTGAAACAGAATATTGGGGAGAAGATCGAACCGGGACGCCTCTAGCGGTACGCTTGAGCTGTGGGGACAACAAACCGTATTTTATTGTTTGTTTCCTTATCCGAGTAATAAAAGATGACGATTCGAAGGCCACTCCTCGTGCGACTAAACCACGGGTCAGAGCGAAGCGCTCGTGCTCAGACCGAGCTAGACGAGGTTCAATTTCTTTGTTATGCAGTGTTAGTAAACACCGGGCTGTGGGGACAACTAGGGTGCCTTCATGTGCGCTTCGCTTAGGGTGGACACATCTCGCCATTTTGTTCCCCACTTTTACTTTTATTTTTTGTTCGGAAGCGCGTGAAAGGGCGTGTCCCTGCACGCGTCTGTGGTGATGACTGTGCTATGGCGACATTTTGTTTTCGTCGATTTCTTTGTGTTTTCCCCCTGAGTGCGTGCTGTCGGCATCGGGTGCTACAAAGCGTGGCATTATCCTAAACAGAAGGGCATTGAGGCACCCTAGGGACAACAAGCTGGATAAAGCGCCCCCTGTAGTTCGATCTTCTGCCCAATAGCTGCTGGGATGTTCTTCGCGAATATGTACTTCCAAATGGCTCGCGAGAAGATTAAAAGCCGGGATTTCGCTGCCCCTACATCATACAAAAGACAGTCTACAAACACGAGTCACCGTACTATCCGCGGTTCGAATGCGGCGCGCCAAGGTTTCTCCTTGAACTCATTGCCATGCGGCATTCAAAGCACGGATCTCGGGGTGACTTGTGTCAGTATCTGTTTGCACACTGCCTGTTGTAGCAATAACAGCGTAAACTGAACTTTCGTGAAAGCGACAGAGTGCACTCGAAGAACTGGGAAGCGTGAAGTCCAGCAGACAAGGTAACAAATGTTCAAAACTGTAAAAAATAACTTTACTTTAAAAAAAAAAAAAAGAAAAACGTGTTAAAAATAACATGTTCTCTGTTCGATTATAGCTTGCCTGCAGTTGAAAAAAACAGAACATAGAACGATAAATCCCTCGAGGATTGGTATTACCTGTCTTAAAACATTTTTGTGCGTGGGATGCTCAATATAACCTTCAATAATTAGACTGACTCTTTTTATTTTCAACGGCTCAGTAGTTCTGCGAATTGTTCATTTGTCTTCTGTACACCTTTCGATTGCTTGTTCATCTTCACTCCACGAAACCACGTTTTACTTTACGCGGACCTTTATTGGACTTCTGTCGAGGACCCCCGGGGGCCCACAGACCACAGTTTGAGAACCGCTGGCTTAATTTAATGCATTCTAAAGAGGTAAAAGTGATCGCTACATAAATACTGAATTAAACGCATTATGGAACTGTCTCGATAGCAGAAGTTTCTCTGCACTGGAGTTTACTCACAAGAAGGTCCGTCTCGTTACATTTTTCGGTGAACTCGAGGCCAGCGAGTTTCCAGGTGCCTCGCTTGTTGACGATCACGGACTGCGGACTCAGGTTCCGGTGGATGAGTTTGCAGGAGTAGTGTAGGAAGGACAGGGCTTCCGTAAGCTGAAAAAGCAAAAAGTGAAAGCCGTTTACCACTCCCTGTAACGCCGAATTAGAGCGCAGCTCTTGAGGAGGAGGAGGGAAGGGTACTGAGGGTCATGTGTAGTCGGGGGGGGGGGGGGGGCACGTGACCCCCCCCCCCGAAGTTCTGTGACACCCCCCAGGTCACGTGACCCCCCAAAAAATTTTCCGCTAGATTTAGCGAGGAAATTTTTCCTCTAGATTTAGCGGGGAAATTTTTTCGCTAAATTTAGCGGGGAAATTTTTCCGCTAGATTTAGCGGGGAAATTTTTCCACTAGATTTAGCGGGGAAATTTTATGGCATCTGTTCATATGTATGGCATCTGTTCATATGTGTTGAGATGCAAAAATAATAATAAAACCGCGAAGTGTATCTGACTAGACAAAGCAATGTTTGAGCGAGGTGACTTATAAGGTCATTGAATATTAGGCAAGATGTCTTAAGACAACTTTGCCTCCTGATGACAAGCCGTTTTTTTTTTGTTGCAACATTAATAAAAACAGAAACGAGACACACGTAAAAAGGTCCAAAATCAAAACACCGAAAAATGAAACGAATCCTCGCCTAACAAAAAGAACGAGGCCGTTCAGAATCTACATTTTAATCGCCTCCTTATTTTTCTCAAAGCACTTGTCTTCACAGCAGCACAGGGTCGTCACATGTTACGTTAATGGTTCCCACTCCCCTTCCCATTACTTTGCTGTCTTTAAGAATCCGTGTCGTTTACCCAGGCCATTAATTAAGGCCGTACAAGAAAGAGTTGCGCTACATTAGCGCCCACGACAATATTGGTGCACGCGAATTAAGAAACAGGCTTATATTTTTAGAAACGAAATCGCTCGACAAAGAAAGGTGTTAAAAGAAACAAAAATGAAGAGAAGAAAATAAAAAGAAGGGTCACGGGTACTTTGAAAGGAAATGCTTCATTTGTACCTCGGTTTATTATTAGTTCCGGAAGAATCGCGGGCCTTATTGGCAACATTGGCTCCGTCTAATTAAGTTTCTACGAGAATGGTCGCTCCCGTTGGCTGACTCAGGCGAGGATGTGAGGGATTTGGACTAAAAAAAAAAGAAAAAAGGGGTCTAATCTTTTTTCGCATTAGGGTCTTTCTTTCTTCTTTTTCTTTTTTGTACGCGACATGAACCGTAAGTTGAAGAAGGAAACGGAAGAAGTGGGACGCGAAACTGCAAATGAACACAGGTCTAAGGGTATATCAAGAAGATTGTGAGGATCAAGAGGCGGCCTCAGGTTTCTATTTGTGGTAGGGCTGAATGCATGCGCGTCAGTTTAAGATGGAATGACCCGTGACGCGTTTATTTTTTACCAGTTTCTATCCCTCACGGAGCTTATTTTTTTAGCACAATAAAAATTGAAGTTTGTAAACGAAAAGGTTTAGAAAAGAATGGCACATGCTTTTAACACGAAAACTTTGAGGAGAAAAGTGCATTTGGACGAATGAAGCTGGAGCACAGGTTTCATTGTGTTCCTTAATTTCGTCCTACTTTCTAATATCATATAGGGTACTTTCAAGGAAGGACAAAGCAAAACATTTTGCAATTCCATGAACAGGAAATCACGCAAGAAATGTGTGCTTACAAAACATAAGAAACAAACAAGTTTTGTGGTCCAATAATGTGCAGACGAAAAAAAAAAGCGCATTGAAAGTCACTGGTTTGTAAAAATTCCCAAAAAAACCTTATTTACAAAAATTTATCTACAGAAACAACCTGCAGCGCCGAAGCATTACAGCAGGGAAACACAAAATGAAACACATATTCACGAACATAAATACAATGGCAGAAATACAATAAATACTGTTAAATAAAAGAACGCGCACAAACTTTAGAATGTTAAAAAAATTTAGGATACTGAGAAAAAATATCCTGCGTCATCTGTCGTAAATGCTGTTGCAGGCAATGAATTGAAGTCCGTTATTGTACGAGGGAAAAATGAGTATTTTTTATAATCAGTTCGACAAAATATTTCTCTGATCATGTTACAATTATCTATTGTGGTTTAAATATATAGTTTGGTAGTTCAAGATATTTATACTTATCAATTCTAGTTAAGTTACTAAATATAGAAAATAAAAACCTTAGACGAAATTTCTTTCTCCTTGAATCCAATAGTTCCCAACCCATCTCACGTTTAATTTCTGTCACTCTGGATGTTCTGTCGTACTTTCCCGATAGAAACCTTGCAGCACGGTTTTGCATTTTTTGTCTATTTTAATGACAAGGTACGCTTGGTGCGGTTCCCACAGAACACACGCATATTCAAGCATCGGTCTTACCAAGCAGCAGTAACCAAAAAGTAAGGACGCAAACGAGCTGGTGTACATTGCGCATGGTTGAAAAAACCCCGAGACTGCGGGTAAACGACACAACAGTGTAGAGAATTTTTAGTGTTGTGTCGTTCACCAGCAGTAACCAGTTTCTTTTAGCTTTTTGGGAGCACTGCGTAGATTTCTGTTAACAAAATTCAACATTCTACCAGCCTTTTGTACAGATTGTGTTACGTGAGAATAAAAAAAATATATATTATAAAACAGCAGCATACTTTTAAAAACGCATTCTTATAATGTAAAAACAAATGTTTATTTACATTTAGCTTTATATGACTTTCAGCTTCTAAACCGGTAAATTTTTTATTAAAAGTTTTCAACATAAACAACGTGAGCGAAATGTTAGAAACTACGCTAACTTTTTACCGGTGACGGATGTTTCTTACATTGCTTTGAAAAATAATTTTGTGAGGATTACTTAATTGCTCATCATTCAAAGCAGGTTAAAGGGGTACTCTGACGATTTTTTGAGCTACCCCAGCTAGCTATATTATCGGAATCACCTGCCTTCACTCTTTCGGGTATGCTGTTACGTATCCCGAAATTCTGAATAGTTGCACTGAAATAGGCAAGTGAAAATTATGCCAAAAACTAACATTCAAATATACCCGGGATTTTCAGTGCCTTGACGTCAGTGGTCGAACGGGCAGTCGAAAAATAGACCATGCCGAGCACTTCTTTCATGCCGCTGCGCAGGCACTGGAGCGAGCTTCAAAAGCATTCATTTAATACCTTCAAACTGCTTGTAATCAGTTGGGAAAAACGTCTACTGTCTACGTAGCGAACCCCTGCCTTTTGCTGATGTCACTTCGTCAATGTTGCGAGAAGAAAATTTTATTTTGAAGAACACGGTGGGAACCAGAGGTGTGAATTCGATAACTTCGCGAAAAATATTTATTTTGGCCCAATATTTGGGTTACTATTTTAGGGGTGTTTTTGGTGTGTTTAACAAATTTTCAGGCAAACCAGGGACTACAGAAAGACTCACCGGACTACCCTTCAAGGCAATACATAAATATTGAGAGCTAGTAAAGCAAACGCTGAAATGGTTGAGCGAATAAAACGGTCTAAATGAATGATACCAGCACTTAGTGTTAACTGGTAGCTTGAGTGTGATACAAAAAAGTGAATACAAATATTTGCTACCAAAATAAGCAGTTTAGTTCACAAAGTGATAATACTTCAAAAGCGGCATGACCATAAAAAAGCAACAAGAACCGCATTTAAAAACCACAATTCTAAGTTGGCAAAAGAGCTGTTCATCAAACTCTTAACAAAAAAAGAAACTGAAATTCGATTCCTATTCCCATTTAGTATATATGCGTTTCAAATATTGCTCTCGGAAACAGATCAATGCTGCAATGCACCCTAAAGAATATCTACTCTTTGTTTTTCTTTTGTTCCGTGCCAGGGGAAAATATATAGGCTTCTTTATGCTATTACTGGAAGCACCGCAATCTCGATCCACTCACCCCCATGAGAGGATGAAGCAGTGGTGGATCACCACCCCGTAAATCAAAACGTGAAAAAACATAAATAAGAAAACAGGAGGAACAATGCGGCCGAGCCGCACGCGGATTCCGTTCGCGACGCCCGGTCCGGGTGGCAAACGGTACACGTTCACACCGAAACAATAGTCGAGGAAGACGGAGGAGGAACATCCATTACATGACATTGCCTCAACACGCAGTACAAGGCGAGCTTTGCAATTCGGAAGAAACACGTAGCCAAAGAAGAGGAACTTCGAGCTTTAAAAGACTCTTCGTGAAAACCGAGTCTCTAGTCCCCGAGGGCTCAAGATATTTATGCATGTACTCAGAGTTTAAAAACGCCGTGGTTACGTGCCAAAAGCGAAACCCCCCCCCCCCCCCCCCCCCCCCCCCCCCCAGCAAGACGGCAATTAAGGTGAAGGCAAGAGCGAAGACCCTAAGCTACAGTGGAGTCAAAGTAATAGCCTCCTGCGTCCCGGGACATAAAACAAAAGCGTGCGCAAGGCCGCGTGCGAGCGCGAACTTCGGCTACCCTTTGCCAAAAAGAACCCGAAAACACTTCGATGACCACAAGGAGCTGAACTGGGAAGAGCAAATGTCCTTTGACCACATCGAGAAGGAAGGGCTCCTGCCTAATTTACTTGCGGAAGACGATGCCCCACTATCGAACGGATATGGTCCTTGGGCTACCGCGTGCCATCTACGGAGACACTGAACCGGAACGACGGTCTCCCCGGCAATCCCAACCGAATTTAAGAGATATAAACTGAAAAACGGCGACAAAAAAGAAAACGCTGAAGGCGGATCCGGCAGTCGATACGTAAGTGGGCAACGAGCCACAAGCACACACCTCTTATGGTACTGCAGGGAACTGAGCCGGACGCGGGAAGAAGCGATCGGGAAACTACCCCCAAGCTGCTCCTGAGCTCTCTTCGGGACTGGACACATCTGAGGGACGCGCCGTAGCACCGAAAACCGGTCTTGGGCTCGCTGCTCGGATTTGTCGCGGCAGCCATACAACTAGAGTCTAGACTATCTAATCGCGAAAGTTACCACTACCTCCCTTTCCCCGTCACCCCCCCCCCCCCCTTTCCTTCCTCCGATGTCACTAGACACCTTTCAATAAAGACATATTCAATAGCTGTAATAATATATTTACGAGACTTCATTCACACGAGCTCATAATATGTAGACCTGTGCCAGCCTATTACGGCTAAGGCCCAATTCTAGGCCCAACAATATTACTGACGGGGATATGCTCTCTTCCTTAACAAACGCAGGACACCTAATATTGAAGTGGGTTACCGTGCACATATATCATTAAGGCACACTGAACTGAGCAAAAGTTTATTTTTCTTAATGATCGTATATAACACCTGAGTACAACAACAGCAACAACAAAGCATTAGAAAAAGAAAATGGTTGGCGAAACTTATTTTGATAATTGCAACGTGCTTTTATTTAGTGCATGTCTTTCAAAACTACGCGTGCCCAAATAGAAGCACTTATTGGTATCGCTTTTACTCACTATCAATCCCACAGTGCTACAACTGCTACAAAAAAAAAAAAAAGGTTTATTTTAACTACTATTTTGTGCTGCAATTGAAACACTTAAAACGCTCTCTTTTGGAAGTTTAGTGTCTCTAGGAGCGATTCCGGCACATGCTTCTACTTCGAGTCCACGTTCCGAAATATCCCAATTGCCTTTAATTCAAAATGTGTCCCGCATCGTAAATATTTCTTTTAATGTATTATTTTTTAAGGAGAGGTGGATTTTGTTTTAAGAAGTTCAGCATTCAACAGAGCATTTTTATTATTTTGAGTTCCGTGTATTTTTTTATAATGCTCGCACGTACACACTCTATATACATCACTGTTATGTCTCGTTAAAGGGGACCCCTACTGACACAGTTTTCAGGGACCAATCGGGTAAATACACACATGTCTATCTCGTTATTATGGACAACTCACACTCTGCAGAATCTTTTGGGGGGACGGAGTTGTCCATATTACCAGGCATCACGGTGCAGCGATGACTAGTTTTTTGGGACACCTCTGTCCCCCCCCCCCCCCCCCCACACACACACACAGAGAAAGAAATGTTTATATTTATGCATTTACCTGATTTGTCCCCGGCAACTTTGTTTATGGTGTAGCGGGGTACTCATAGGAAGGGTGTCCTTATCAATTCGACATTACTGTAAATGTACTCACAATGCACGTCATACGTAAATGTGTTGGACGCTGTTTTGCAGCAATCCGATAGATTAAAGTCGAAGGTGACCAAATCAGGGTGCTCACCTGTAGGAGTCCATATTTGATCTCGATGTCGAGAAACTGGTAGTCTCGGACTTCGGGTGGCAGGCACTGGGGCAGTCTGTCTTCTAGGCAGCTTAGGATATTTGCCAGGCTGCCAAGCACGGGTTCCGTGGCAAACGCAAGGGTCTCGCTGCATGAAAAAAAAAAGGAAACATTAAGAAAGAAACATTGACACAGAGCGCGAACCCTTTTTTAAAACCCCGTCAAGCAACAGTGGCAGTCGTCACTTTCAGTTGCGAAATTGCATCGGTATCAGCAAATTGGCGAAAGAAAGGAATCATACTTTTGAATTGCAATTTCTAGGCTAGAAGGCGCAAGCTACCGCTCGTTATAAGATGTACAACCGTTAGCGTCATTCCATCCATCCTGGGCACAAAGCCTATGACTGGATCCGAGTCCTCGCCGAACGCTGACGTAGCACTCGTCCAGGATGCGGATGCACTTTTAGCATGAGGCGAGCTCATGCTAAAAGTGACGCAGCCCTCGTGTACAACAAAATGGGCGCTCAAGGCTGATTCGCACACAAGCTTCTTTTGACCGCTTACGAACGGTTGCGCAGCAGTTCGTTGTTACGGTTAAGTGACAAGTGGCTTAATTAGAACCGGTGTTCAGCCTCTTCGGTCATAAGTAGTCGCAAGTGTGCAATCCAGGCTTGATTAAAGGAAGGCAGACTGGGATAATAAACCATTTGCTAAATAGACCGATCTCACTAAGCGTTGGGCGCATGCGTAAAGCCGCCATAACTTTAGTTCACAGGAGGCAGACGGCCGTGCACGCGAGGGCTCGTGCCTTCTCGTGCTCTACACGCGAAGAGCTCCAGCGAGGTTGTCGCACGTGCCCAAAGACTAAAGTTCCCTCGCTGCATTGCGGCAGCGGTGGCGCAGTCAAAACGGCTGGTGAGATCGGTCTATTACCCAAGCACCACGAACCGTGCTGCGAATGTAGATACACACGCTGCGCGTGCTGGCGTTTGTAGTATAGTAACTGCATCTAAAACAAACGCCTAAAAATAATTTCATCTTGCACGCGCGCTTGTCAACACTTTATTTACTTGCGAATTTTTTATACAAGCAAAGCGAGCATGCGCGGCGCGTGGACTTATATATCTAGCATTCTCATTGTTGCTACGGTAATTTAGCTACAGGTCGAAATGGCGACGGAAAGCACAGGAGCCTTAGACTAGGGGCCCCACCTATAACAAGTATCTTTTTCTCTTTATTTTTCTCTTAATAAAGTTATTTCCTCCTCTATTGGCCGGCACGGAAGATACTAGACTGCGCGCACTGTAGAAAATGATATATTCGGTAATTATCTGTACTCTAGCATGAATACATCAAAAGTGACAGCACTCGTGAGGGAAAAGGCATCGAACGCTGAGATAATAAATAAAGTAACGCGTTTTCAAAAACAAAACAAACAACAACAACTCTAAAGTCGTAATTCTTGTTACGTTTATAGCGGGGAGTCTGGAACTTAGTTAAAATATGTTATTTTTATGCTACGTTATAATTCCACAATCCCACATATTTGAAGTTCGACAATTTCCATGCACGCATGGTCTATGATTTCTGTGAACGAAGCAAAAAAAAGTAAGTCGTAGTGCCGCACCTTCAAACAATCTACAACGTGTTACAAAAAGATTACAGTTTTTTGTTTTTGTTTTTACTGGATAAATTAATCAGGCAGTGCCAAGCGCTCATTCTCCGTCCAAATGTGGCACTACCGGTCCGAACTATCTCCATCACAAATTGTGGGAAATTTAAGTTCGAGAATCGGGCCCGATTTTGCCAGTTTTCGGGAACTCGCGCCATTATGCTTTATGTATTCGAAAGCCATACCGGTCGCCAAATTCCTATGCAATATGAAAAGAAAAAAAAATCCTATACTTTGCCAATAAGATAACGTTTAGTTTCGAAACTTTGACATCTAATTCAAACCGGTAGCGCTATATTTGGGCGGTAAAATGGTCGTTCGTCAATGGATAGTTTATTCTTGCGGTAAAAAGAACCAAAAAACATGTCATTTATACTTAGGAACAGCGTGTACATTACCGAGCGGAGAAAGGTGAAATGACGTAACATTATAGTTGTCTATGTACACCTGGCCATGAACTTAGGGGTCACATATGTTTCAACACACACTTTTTTTTTATGGCTGGCGTCCTGCCACTTTCCGCAACGCACTCCTGTAGCGAAAGGGCCTTACATGAGTGCTGCGCCAAAGTTCTACTGGAACGCACGTCCTCGCTGAATGAGCATGAGTTGCATTCAAAAGCTCGATGCAGTACTCGGGGCCAATCTGCGTTCCATAAAAAAAATCTAGCACGGCTGCCTTGTTACCGCGAATTCGGGTCGTCAATCGTCGGCGTGACAAAACGGACGGCATCGGAAACCAGAAACGCGCCGGCGGCACACCCTGTGACCCTCAGCAGCCGAACATGAAAGGTCAGACAGTGGAAGTTTACTTCGCCGCTTGACCGCAAGACACCGCGCGTTTTTTTTTAATCTATTTTCTTCGCTTATGCCTAGGTGGCGCACGTTATCACCTAATAATGCTACTGAGCCAAAAGTACACCCATTTTTTCAAGCGTTTGTTTTGGGTCGGTTGTAAACATCCGTAAGAAAAACGTGAATTCCGCCGATTCAACGCTTGGATTAGAGTATAGCTTGGATGACAGATATGAATAGAACCGTCACACCTGACGTGTATGATGTATTCAATATTCGGCCTGGGCTCAGGAGCAGAAAAAAAAATATAACTGAAGGCTGTTTCAGACAAAATAACGTCCTTTTAAGCTTTGCAACTATCACTGTCTCTTCAAAAAGTAACAAATTTGTTACCCCCCCCCCCCCCCCCCCCCCCCCATTACAACATCGATAATGCGAACTAAGCGATAGACTGTCGCCGCCGTCAGCCATGTCCTCCATTTTCCTTGTGGTATTTTCCCAGCGGCTTGGATTGACTCGAGTATTAGCTGCTGAAGTGACTTCAGATCAGTTTCATTCTTTCACCGACGTCCTCTCCCATTTCGGATGTGACGACACCGGATACAGTCTGTAGCCCGCACGCCCCGCAGTTCGGAGCTCGGGCGGAAAAAGCGCCGGAAAGCTGCCGGTGCTTGGCGTAGTACCAACACCCGAACGGTGCGCGCCAGCCGGAAACGGGCCATGCGAACACTATTTCCGGTTTTCCGGCAAAATAGATTGTCGACGATTGACCACCCGAATTCGCCATTAGTTGCGAGGTGTTGAGCGAATGGGGTCGCACAAACGGTGGGAGAGTGCCCACGGGAGCAGGGCCAAGATAACACGCACGCACTTTGGAGGAAAAAGACAGAAGCGAAATAGCAGGGTTCAAATTTGGGTGTGCGACTATAAGTAACGCGAATTTTGCGTTCTCTTCCTGCAGGGACGCTGGCGTCTGACGGGGCGTTCTGTCAGAGCAGCTTATGCAAGACGATGTTCGTTCCCCCCTTGCATGAAATACGGAACGAGCTGATCCGGAGCAAAGCTCACTGCATCCTGTGTTACTAACGCCTTTGCCAGTATAGTCCGGAAAAAGAAGTAATTTCTTTCTTGAGGCAAGTTGATCGGTATTAATATTGTCACGAAGGATTAGGCGAGGAAACAAAGAATAACTGGGGGAAACTCAAACGCTTAATGGGGCCAACTTGTGCCCCAAAATAAAAATGAAACAGAAGATAACAGCAGAACGTCGCGGGCGTCGACGAACTCGACGTAACAGCAGAGTCGAACGCCGGGGCGAGACTGACTGAAGGATAGCCATGCGGAGCCCCTTATGTACACACGTTGGATTCTGGAACAATCGGGCTAGAAGGTTCGGCTACAAGAACCTTTGCACCTCGAACAGGCGACAGGATTCTCGAATTTACTAGAACACTACAATGCAAGTATACACAAAAGACGCGTCGCTCCCAGGAATCAAACCCTGGCACTTCGCGTGGGACGCAGGCACGATAACCGTTAGGCCACGGCCGCGCTGGTTACTTGGCAAGTCGCGCGCGCGGTAATATCAAGATTAAGTACGCTTCAATACGAATCACATTGTTAGTTTCCTTTTTTGTGGCAAAGTTAATATGTAAACCGGTGGTCACTGCGTCTTCCCAAGTTACTTAACATTTTTTTTCAGAAACTTTAACACTTTTAGAAAGTACTGAAAAAAAAGGTGTAACCCTACGTTCAAAGCCGGGGTAAATGAACGCGGGGTTTTTGAAACGTAGGGCTAATGGTGCGGGGCTTTAGCGACGGGGATTCTGCACGCGGGGCAATCGTGCTACACCCAAACGTTGCCACCACGTCCCGAAGTGAGGAGGTGAGGAGCGGGTAAGAAGGGCGCCGGCGGACCGGGAGAAGCCGGCTTTATTCCGTGCGTTGAGAGCCGCATGTTTTCCGAGGGAGGATACAAATGCAGGAGGCGACATCACATCGGACTCCGATTTTTTGTATTTCAGAAAAGAAGGCCGTAGTGAGTTAGTGCTTTCGCAATTCCGTTAAAAACAGGTTCTACGATTGCCGTTATTCAATGTTATTGAAATGTCGCCTACAAAGGTTTTAAATTTCATGATTTTTGACGTTACAAATCAAAAGAAACGAGGAAGCGAAAAGCGGGAGAGAAAAACGCCAAAAATAAAAAAAAGCAAAAACGTGAATAATTTTTTTTTTTTTTTTGCGATGCGGTATTTTTCTGTGTGTCGATGACTACGATTTGCATTGTTTTAGACAATTGAGAAAATACGACCTTCGGAATGTCAGTGCCCCTTTAAGGCCCGTTCGCACACTTGCAACCAAGTAGGACTGACCGAGACAACGCCGTATTTTTAAAACTATTGTGTCGTCGTAGAACTGCACGCGCTGCTGCGGAGCTCCTACGCCATCGCAAGAGGCTTAAAAACCGGTATTGTCTAGGTCGGTCCTACTCGGTTGCGAGTGTGTGAATGGAACTCTACAAACGCGTTAAAATAAAATAAACGCGCCGACTGTAACAGGCAGTCTGGACAGTGCGACATCACCCGCCACATTGACAGCCTAGTGCAGTGGCTCGAAACACTGTGTTTTGAAGTCTTGGAGTTCTTATATCGCAACGGTAAAGTTTGTTTCCGAAATATTTTGT